CTCAACACCTTCAAGTATTTGCGATCTCTTTTTTGTGAGCATATCTACCCCTTTCGCAACAACAGCTTCCTTGATTTCCCTTTTCTTCACCACAATGAAAGAGATGGTTGTATGGGGCTTCCCATACATCCTGGCAAGATGGGCCACACGCACTCCATTTTCATACTTTGCAATTTCTTTCTTTCTTGAATTCTATTGTGTTTCTCACATTCTTTACCAAAAGGCTGGCACTACAAGCTTTCTTTGGGCCCATGGTGGCTTATTTAGATGTTGCAAGCATGAAAAAGAATGGAGTATTACGAAATGTATCGTATGGATGTGTGCAATAAACAATGCCACACTGACTGGTAGTGGTGTGTGGGGCGCCTTTGTGAGGCGCGGACGCCGGGAGGCCACTCGTACGCGTTCTGGACAAGGAACGAATGGCAAGCCAAATTACAAACCTTGAGGCTATATTTTGATGAAAAAAAACGTTACAAAAGGCGAAATTTACAAAGTGCGAAGCTTATGAAACTAGAGGGTCCATTGTATAATGTATATACAGCCTCTCCTCACTTAACGAAGGAGTTCCGTTCCTGAGACCATTTCGTTAAACGAATTCGTCGCTAAGTGAGGAGCATACTATAATGTTTTAATGTTACCTTTGCACCATTGATAACATTTCTGGTATATACTATTAAATGTTTAAACAGTAGTGTACTCTATATTAAAATAAACAGTAGAGGAAATCAGCTCTAATATACATTATTTAGGTATGAATACTGGTCAGAGAACCCGTCGTAAATCCAAGGCGTCGGTAAACAAGTACGTCACTAAGTGAGGAGAGGCTGTATACCATATATATAACCCAGTAAAGTCAATCAATATTACCTATTTACATGTTCTGAGGAGTATTACATTCTGAATCAATTGTAATATTACAAGTATTCCTTGTATATAGCCTTCTAAGATCATAATAGTACAAAAAAAAATAAAAATAAAAACCAGTCATATTGTATATATACCGATTATTCCAAGTGAAGCAATGTTTGAAGTGCTAAAACATCTTGAAACACTTTTTTTTTTTTTTTAACAAGTCGGCTGTCTCCCACCGAGGCAGGGTGACCCAAAAAGAAAGAAAATCCCCCCCCCCTCCCAACAAAAAAACACTCACCATCATTCAACACTTTCACCTCGCTCACACATAATCACTGTTTTTGCAGAGGTGCTCAGAACACAACAGTTTAGAAGCATATACATATAAAGACACACAACATATCCCTCCAAACTGCTAATATCCCGAACCCCTCCTTTAGAGTGCAGGCATTGTACTTCCCAATTCCAGGACTCAAGTCTGGCTATATAAAAATATGAGATTAAGACACATATGCAACATCTGGGTATCTTTATTGTAGACTTTTCGCCATCCAGTGGCTTTATCAATACAAATTCTAGGACATAACTTGAAGACAGTAGAACTATGTACAGAAGATGAGGTAATCAGTCCCTCAACCTATGAGTAGGTGCGAAGAGCACCATAGTCGTGGAGATTCTGAAGCAGAAGACAGGATCCTGGCGCTTATATAGTAACGTCAGGTGTAGCAGACGAGGGCATATTCACTAGTAGGCGGGATTCCCCAGTGGAAGTAGGTCCTTCCCAAAGAGATGGGTTAGTTGTAGTAGTAGTTGTCGTAGCCGTGAAGGTTATGTACATGTCCTCAGAATTAAGATTCCATGATGTTGCAGTGTCTGACAAGTTGTGTACGAATGGTATATAATACCGACAAGATGAGATTAAGACACACATGCAACATCTGGGTATCTTTATTGTAGACGTTTCGCCATCCAGTGGCTTTATCAATACAAATTCTAGGACATAACCTTCACGGCTACGACAACTACTACTACAACTAACCCATCTCTTTGGGAAGGACCTACTTCCACTGGGGAATCCCGCCTACCAGTGAATATGCCCTCGTCTGCTACACCTGACGTTTCTATATAAGCGCCAGGATCCTGTCTTCTGCTTCAGAATCTCCACGACTATGGTGCTCTTCGCACCTACTCCTAGGTTGAGGGACTGATTACCTCATCTTCTGTACATAGTTCTACTGTCTTCAAGTTATGTCCTAGAATTTGTATTGATAAAGCCACTGGATGGCGAAACGTCTACAATAAAGATACCCAGATGTTGCATATGTGTCTTAATCTCATCTTGTCGGTATTATATACCATTCATATATAAAAATAACCGGTTTCCCTGAATCCCTTCACTAAATATTGCCCTGCTCACACTCCAACAGATCGTCAGGTCCCAAATACCATTAGTCTCCATTCGCTCCTATTGAACACGCTCATGTACGCCTGCTGGAAGTCCAAGCCCCTTGTCCACAAAACCTCCCTTACCCCCTTCCAACCTTTACGAGGACGACCCCTACCCCGCCTTCCTTCCCCTACAGATTTATATGCTCTCCATGTCATTCTACTTTGATCCATTCTCTCTAAATGATTAAACCACCTCAACAACCTCTCTTCAGCCCTCTGACTAATACTTTTATTCACTCCACACCTCGTAATTTCCACACTCCGAATTTTCTGCATAATATTTACACCACACATTGCCCTTAGACAGGACATCTCCACTGCCTCCAACTGCCTCCTCGCTGCTGCATTCACAACCCAAGCTTCACACTCATATAGGTGTTGGTACTACTCTACTATCATACATTCCTTTCTTTGCCTCCATAGATAACGTTTTTTGTCTCCACATATACCTCAACGCACCACTCACCTTTTTTCCCCTCATCAATTCTATGATTAACCTCATCCTTCATAAATCCATCCACTGACACGTCAACTCCCAAGTATCTGAAAACATTCACTTCTTCCATGCTCCTCCTCCCCAATTTGATATCAAATTTTTCTGAATATCACATAAACAAACAAAGCACGTATTACTATATTTCTCAGATTAATAAAATATAAACAAGAATGACTGGTCATTGTGTCAGCCATTCCAATAACTGAAACAGATCTAGAAAAAATATATAAAACTGACTGAGGAAGGGGAGGGCCTACCCTTCCTCAAGAAAATCACCAAAAATCAAATACAGTGGACCCTCAACCAATGAAGGCATCGTCTAACGATAAAATCAACTAACGAAGCGTTTTAGTGTGAAAATTTTGGCTTGGCCAACGATGAAAAACTCCAACATGATTCGTCCTGAACCTGTCCATCCAGCCTGAGCACCTCAGCTGCCTTGATATCATTGTTTACAAGCCAGGATGGATGGTCCCACGCATACATTCGATACATTTTATATTATTCCACTGTTTTTAGTGCTTGTAACTGCTAAATAAGCCACCATGGGCCCAAAGCTTCTAGTGCCAACCCTGTGGTAAAAAGGGTGAGAAATACTATCGAAATACTATCATACCACGGTCAGCTGCTGCTGCATCACCGTCAGTTGCTCCTGTACCACGGTCAGCTTCTGCTGCACCACAGTCAGCTGTTGCTCCACCACCATCAGCTGTACTACTCGAAGATGTGGAGTGTGTGTTGTTGGTGTGGCTTAACGAGAAACAATTACTGAGAAACAATTAACCCAAGAAAGTCAGTGCGTCATCAAGGACTGTCTAACTTATTTCCATTGGGGTCCTTAATCTTGTCCCCCAGGATGCAACCCACACCAGTTGACTAACACTCAGGTGAACAGAAAAAAATGCCTGGAACTAGTGCTCAAATTGGCGAATTTAAGGCCAGCAAAGGTTGATTTGAGTGGCGAAGCTGAAAAATTCTAACCCCAACAAGTGTTCAATTGTGACAAAACAGGTCTGTTCTGGATGAAAATGCCAAACAGGACCTACATTACTCAGGAGGAAAAGGCACTCAGGACACAAGCCCATGAAAGACAGACTAACTCATGTTTTGTTGTAATGCTAGTGGGGATTGCAAAGTGAAGCCTTTATTCACGTATCACTCTGAAAATCCCAGTGTTCAAGGAAAAACTGTCTTATCACTCTCAATACTCTTCAATAAAGGCAAGTGTCATTTTAACATTTATTTATGTAGTTATTGTGCATGTCTCATTGTTTTCTTTGTAGGGAAATGTATATTTCATGAAAAAAAAAAATTTTAATACTTTCGGATGTCTGGAACGGATTAATTGGATTTCCATTATTTCTTATGGGGTAAATTAATTTGACTAACAATAATTTCGTCTAATGATAAGTTCTCTGGAAGGGATTAATATCGTTTGTTGAGGGTCTACTGTATTTCTGTTACTTTGAATCCTGCTTCAAGCTAATTCCAGTTCTGAAATTGCCCAAAATATTCTCTTTCACTAGTTTGTTTTACATTCTACTAACTGATACCCAGAAACAGCCAACAAAACCCTAGAAAACACCTCAAAGTTGTTATTTTAAACCAAACTAGGTCAGAGGCTTGCTTTTCCCATCATGCACTGTGTGATGCAGGATTATTTCTATACAGTGCACACTTACTTCATAGACCCATTCTTTCATGTCTAGGCCAAAATTTACTGCTCACATCATATTTGCGGGTGCTGTTGTTAAAATGTAGATCTATGTGAGCAACACTGGCATCAATAATGTAGATCTACATACGAGACAGTGAAAGGGTTAATGGACACTAATAATCCTCCCTATTAGTTGTGAAGAAAAAGATTCAATACCATGAATGAGCAATACACAAATAACCTACACATTATATGGACCATTATATAATGAAGCTCTGATTAAAAAGTTTTTAGCACATAAAAAAATGGAGGTCAACACACTGTTTCGGGTGTTCAAGAGTAACTGACAGATTTTCCTAACTACAACTGAGGCCTCATAAATGTATCCCGCATCCTTTATCATTAATGCGTTTGCTGAAGGAAATCTATTCTTTTCATACAGAATAGAGGAGGCCTCCAAACTTTCTACAGCATATATATAAATTCAGAATATCTACCTGGTAAATATATCTTCTGTGGGAAAGAAAACATGATCAATCTTACCTTCACATTCTGCATTTTTGTTTCCACTACTCTTCATTCTTCTGTGTCTCTTTTTCACATTTGGTGTCTCAATTTTAGATGAAATGCTGGCAGCATCCAGACCATTGACTCCCGCTGGATCATGAAGGGTTTCATAGGACATCAGTGTTACCTATAATATAAAGCGATACTAATATGAAGCAAGTGACGATGAAAGTTTTTTTTTTTTTTTGGGTCACCCTACCTTGGTGGGAGATGGTGTTAAAATATATTTTAATATTAGAAGAAAAGGATTTAAAATTTATTACTATTTCTTCATTTTGGTTTAAAATTTATCAAATTAAGAAAATTAATGCAAAAAAGCTTCTGACACCAGCTTCTTACTGGGAATTATCCTCCAAGGTTGTGATAATGATACAATAGCCACAAAGTAGCCTTACCTACTTCTGATAATGCCAGTTTATTTACCTAATATGCATTTATATGCATACAAACATCACAGTTCCAATAAACTGATAACCAACATCCTTACTCATCCTTTAAAGTGCATGAACCCTGATAAATTAGACATGTGCAACTCTTGGGTATTTTTATTGAGGAAACGTTTCGCCACACAGCGGCTTCATCAGTCCATACAAAGGAGAATCTTGAAGAACAGGAGGAGAATGAGGTAATCAGTCCCTCAACCTTGAGTCGATATGGTCAGTCCATCAATCTTGAATAGAATACACCTGCTGCACCTCTCCTGCCTACAGTTTATAAGCTGCTTCTCCGCACATATGCCGTATTCTATTCAAGATTGATGGACTGACCACATCGACTCAAGGTTGAGGGACTGATTACCTCATTCTCCTCCTGTTCAAGATTCTCCTTTGTATGGACTGATGAAGCCACTGTGTGGTGAAATGTTTTCTCAATAATTGTACCCAAGAGTTGCATGTGTCTAATTTATCAACGTGTCGGTTCTCTGAACCATTCATCTACTATCCTGTCGGACACTGCAACTTCTTGGGATCTTAATACTTGGGAATTCTTCACTTGCCTAACCCTTGGGCATGACCTACTTCCACACTGAACAAATGTGACACCACCTATGACTGCTGCACCTCTCCTGCCTACGGTTTATAAGCTGCTTCTCTGCACACATGCCGTATTCTATTCAAGATTGATGGACTGACCACATCGACTCAAGGTTGAGGGACTGATTACCTCATTCTCCTCCTGTTCAAGATTCTCCTTTGTATGGACTGATGAAGCCCTGTGTGGCGAAATGTTTCCTCAATAAAGATACCCAAGAGTTGCATGTGTCTAATTTATCAACGTGTCGGTTCTCTGAACCATTCATCTACTATGCATGAACCCTTTCAGAACTCAAGTTCAGCTTCTCAGTTTCCCTAAATTTCTTTCCCAAAGAAACCACTTGTCTTTGCTTACTTCAATATATCACACTAACACAAGTTTGCTAAATGCTCAATCCCCTCCTATCTCTCCGAACCTTCCCATACTCCCCTCAATTCTCTTGTTGAAGCCAAGAGCACTTGTCCAGAGTCACTTATCCAGGACTAGGACACACATTACAATACTGGAATTTGTCACAAATAAACATTATTTTAGTTCTCGTGGCTCTTAGGATTTTTTTTTATTTTCTCAGTTAAATTTCATGCTTAATTTCATACTGTCCAGAAACGATATGAAGTTGGGGTTGGGAAAACTTACAAGATACATATGCATATTACCAACAGTACTCAAGAAAAAAAAATAAAAAAAGGTGTGCCATAACCTTTTATTATGAAATTTCTCTTTATTGAGAGCATTATTAAGTCAGTGCCTTCATAAGCTCTACAGAGTGAAACATTGCCATAATGTTTGTTCTGCACCTGTCTATGCTTCAAAGTAGATTAAATTACAGTACAGCACTAATTTTTATCCTCTATTTTGATTTGCAATAAGCAAAAAAAAAAAATGAAGGATGAATGTATACCATCCTTATTTATAAGAATGATTTAAAAACTCTTACCTTATCTTTATTTGACTGTATTGGACCTCCAAGTGAAGATCTACCAGCTAGAGGTGGTCCTGGAGTGCCGCTGGAAGTAATATTAAGAGTGTGCATCTCCGAAGCAAGAGGATCACCACCACCACTTCCAGCCACAACCTTGGATCCTCTTGGCTTCATTCCAGGGACTTTGACTGTGGTATACTGAAGTGAAATTTCTTTCCCATGTATATCTTCCATATAATCCTGTATTACAAAAAAAAAAAAAATGAATCACGAAAAAATATACATTATCACTATAATACAGTACAGCCTCTCCTCATTTAACGACGAAGTTCCGATCCTACGACCTCGTCGGTAAACAAATTCGTCAGTAAATGAGGAGCATACTATAATGGTAGGGGGTTTGTGTCAACCATCTTTGATACTGTTTTAATGCCATCTTTGCACCATTTATAGCATTTCTGGTATATTTTTAAATGTTTACACAGTAGTGTACTGTATATTGTAATAAACAGAATAGAGGAAATCAGTTCTAATATATACATTATTTAGGTATGAATACTGGTCAGAGAGCCTGTTGTAAGTCCGAGTCGTCGGTAAACGAGTACGTTGCTAAGTGAGGAGAGGCTGTACTTAAAACTATAAATTCACATGTATTTAATAGTAGTGTAATTTGTTGCTAAGGAATACAGTATACATCTATAATTTGATTTCCATTTTACCATATAGACAAGGCAAAAAAAAAAAAAAAAAACTCACATGTAAACTGGGATGATAGGTTAGTCTACCATTGTCACATAATGTAACATATTTCTTTTTCCAGTCTTTATTGAGAGCCTTGTTGGATTTCTTATATAAATAACCTTGTTTTATTGGGATGGCACGACCACTTCCTACTTCTCCATTTTTACTCTTTTCCTTCTCATCACTTTTCTTTGAAGGAGTGAAGAGATTGGACTTTCTCCGACTTTTCCGAGATGTAGTTGGTGTAGAGCTTGGAGTAGGGAGATCCTTGTTATCTCTTGGTGTAGGTATGGAGTCAGTGATAATAGGAGCTGGGGTGGAAGTTGGTGGAGGTGGAGGCGCCATGAAGGCTGCAGTGGTGACAGCGCCTGGTGCACTCACACGCTTAAAACCATCGTCACGGAAAGAATCTGTTCTTGTCATCGCAGTTAACTCTGCTCCACTTCCATGACTACTCCTTAGCGTACCATCCTGAGGAGATATTGAATATTTGAACTAATCATCCAGCAGACATAAATATAATAGATTCCCAACAAGTGCTATATACACATTAAATAATATATTTTTTCAGCACACTGGCCCTGTCTCACCAAGGAAGGGCAACCCAAAAAAGAAATTTTCACCATCATTCACACCATCACTGTGTTGCCAGGGTCGTGCAGATACAACAGTTCAGATGTCCCTCCAAACAGTAAATATCACAAACCCCTCCTTTAAGTGCAGGCATTGTACTTCCCACCTCCACTTTCCCTGAATCTCTTCACGAAACATTGCCTTGCTCACACTACTACTAACAATAATAATACACTGTATATATTTTTTATTAATACTGTTTGCCAGGATTATATTAAAGTTTTTAATACATGTGCAGGTAATTAAGCATTGCTGATCCACTCTGATACAATTCAAAAACCAATTTTTTTTCTTTTTTTTTATAAATTCTGAGATCCACACAAACACTAAGCACACAGCAATACATCTGGCCAAAAGTAACCTACAAAACATCCAAAATCGATTCTGAAACAATCGTAATGCAGTACAAGACATTCCCCATTGTCTAACCACCAATCAATAGTCCCATATATTAAAAAAGTGGGGGAAACACATTCTGAATCTACAAAACTGTTAAATTCAAGTTGGAAACAAGCACATGTGGAAGAGTTCCACAGATAAGTTTGTTACAGTTGTATGAAGAATTTATGTATGCAGAGATGTCTGGGTGATAGAGGCTGTGAGCCAACAAGTGGATAAAGCGGTGTAAGCTTTTCTTAAAACAAAATTATACTCAATAAACTTGATAAAGCTCTGTGAGCCAACAAGTGGATAAAACAGTGTAAGCTTTTCTTAAAACAAAATTATACTCAATAAACTTGATAAAGCTCTTCTTAAGTTTAAACATCATTATAATATGGCTTATGCTGTTTTGTGCGTTTCTTCAATGAAGTCTCAGCGAACTGCAAATAGGCAGAGGCAACAGCACTAAGTTCGTAAAATTATCATCAAAATCTTTATAGAAAAGATCACTGAAGTGGGACGGTCGTTACTTATCACATTACAAAAAATGGTCTTTTCAACAAACTAACCTTAGTGATTGTGTTTGTATACACATGACTAGGAGAGGAGCCAGATATGGGTGGTGTGACCTGCTGGCCCGATGCAAGTTGTGGGGTAAGTGGTGCAGAGATATTGGAGTAGGGGGCTGGAGTGTAGCCGTTATTAGTGGAGGGATACCGTAGGAGGTGTGTGGGAGTGCCAGGACGAGAGTTGTTGGGAGTTAGGCCCTGCTGGCTAAGGCGCTGAGCCACAATCTTTGAACAGGCTGTTGGAACAAACAAGTTATTGCGGGTAACAGTTTAGAAAATTGATAAATAAGACACTTGTGCAATAGTATTTGGGTATCTATTCTAGAAACGTTTCACCAGCCAATTGCTTCTTCAGAGATGATGGATGATGAGGAAGAGAAGTTTGAGGTAATCCAGGTTGACGGACTGATTACCTTAAACTCCTCCTCATCTTCTACCTTTCTCTGCACTGGACTGAAGAAGCCACTGCCTAGCAAAACATTTCCAGAATAAAGATACCCAAATGTTGCACAAGTCTCTCAGTTATCAAACATGGTATTACACATTCTGCCATATGATTAGCTAAATATTGAGATTCAGAAGAATACACTGCTGAATACTCTACATTAAGTCATCCATCAAATTCTACTTACTTTATTAAACAAATTATTATTAGCATCAGTTTATAAAGAACATATTAAAACTTTTCAGGAGGAAAATGGACCAGTTGCAACAATAAGTGTCAGGTTATGGGTGGTAATGGTGTCTTATGAATGAGAGCTAATTCCAAGCATTTTTTTCTGTTCCTGTCTTTTTTTCACTACTAACCCTAAGCCAATGCATGTGGTGTGCAGTGTCAGCAATGATCATCTCACACAGAAGGTTAATGGCTTCTTCAACCAGTATATTTTTAAGGCAGTGACTTTCAAAATTCATGAGTTTATCACTTACAACAAGTTCCTATATATGGCTAAGAGGTCAACTGAGTGTTCCAGGTAAATCTGACTAACTAAACCTAGAATATACTACTATGTACTATTAGTACTAGGCACCTAATTCTATAATTTTTAAAGGGGTGGACTGGTAAGCCAGCTGAAGGCCTCAGTCAGATGAGTAAAAGCTCCAGCTATGGGTCATCACATGACTAAGACCTGCAGTCAGGAAACACTTGTTCTGTTTCCTGACAAACCTTACCTAGCCTAACCTGTACCCAGAGGTATAGACATGCTTTGCCGAAGCCCCTACCATCATGTGATGGGTGCTGCCTATCTCATTTATTTATTTTCTGCAGTATACCAGCAGGCCCCGCTTTACAGCACTTTGCATTATGGCTTTTCACTAATGCAATGGTTTTCAATTACACCCATTCTTCATTTATTCAGACTTCCTTCAATAAATATATTCACCACTCACTATAAGCTAAGGATGAAAATATTTTAAGGTAAGTAATGTGTGTACTGTATATGCATTTTTCAGGTCTAGCTCTATTACTCACTTAATATATGATAGTGTAAACATGTTAGCAGGTTTTCATAGCATTTGTAAGTGAAAAAAGGTCTATTCACTTTATAACAGTAGCCCAGAACCTAACCTGCTGTATAAGCAGGGCCCTCCTATACAGGTAATGTGGTATACAAGGGTCTGACAGGTACAATGAGCTTGCAAGTCTTGGGTAAATCATAAAGCCTCACTGATCTAGGGTTGGTGGGAGGAAGTACAAGAGCAATCTACTATTTTTAGATTTACTAAGTATTTTGTGAGTCTTACTAAGAAAGGAATCAATGTCCTTTTTCTGAGTGTTCAGGAATGGTAAAGTAGGTATTGGCATCATCTAATCTTGAATTTTACTAGCAAAATCCATATGACTGAGGATGACTACCCCTCCTTTGATGTCACTGCCTTATATGTGTACTAATGTAACCAGATGACCAACTCATTAACGTTCTGTAGCAGGGTGATCATTAATGATACAGAGATGCTTATTCCTTGCCAGGATTTTGTGGGCTTTTATTGAAGTGTTTGATCAAGCTTCTATGGGCTCATCCCTTAGCTCTGCCATATCCAATTTATATATGGAGAATTTAAGAGTTCAGCCCTATCCTAACCACCATTCCCAGAAGTCACTTAGATGTGGTATGTGCAAAAGTCCCAATGCCCAGAGGTTTTGAAGGTCGTGATATCCTCAATACTGTCAATACTCTAGAATTTCTTGCTATAGTAAGTTCAATCTAGAAAAGGGAGACAATTAATTACCCTTTTTGAAGTGCTATTACTGGCAGATAATAATCGCTTGTTTACAGTTTACAAGACACAAACTTATGAGAATGATTTATTACACTTCTCCTCCCATCATGACAACATTACTAAGTAATAATAGGCTTCTTCCTTAGGTATTTCAGAGTTTCTAGACCACAATTCATAGGAGAATACATACTTCAAGTGTTGTCACTAACACCACTGCATAGGAGTCAGACAGTTTCAGCATATCTAAACTCTTGGCAAGCAGGATGTTGCCTAAGTGTGATACTACAGTCTTGTGATACCCACCAACCACTCACATTTCTATCAATATCACTTTCCTCTTGCTTCATGTCAACTGTCTTCTATGACTGCAGGTGCTCTCTGTTTAGTTTGGTCTGTATTAGGACTGAAGAAGTCACTCATGGTCAAAAGTTTCCTCTAACAAATACAGTGGTACCTCGGGATATGAACAGCTCAAAACTCGAACAATTATGTAAGTGTATTTATGTAAGTGCTTTTGTAAGTGTATTTTTGGGGGTCTGAAATGGATTAATCTACCTTACATTATTCCTTATGGGAACAAATTTGTTTGGTATCGGCACCCGAACAGCCTTCTGGAACGAATTAAGTTCGTATCCCAAGGAACCACTATCTAAAACTATATACAATTGCATTTATCCACAATAAATATAACTTACCATCATGGAATACTCTCTCGACGTTGAGCCCATAGGTAGCACAAGTTTCATAGTACGAACAACGCTTGAGGTCCGAGGCGAGCTTCCGGGCTCTACCGTCATCTATAACGCGAGGGTTGTTCTCACTGATGGCATCTGTAATGTAATAAATTCATCAAATGATAGTCTAGTAAGTTTATTTAGGTACAGGTTCACATAAGAAAATTATCATGTACAGTAACATGTGTAAATTACCTAGAATAACCCTGTAGAAATTTTTTTACATAATTTCCTAAATGTAAAACATATGAATGAATAATATAATAACTGTGTAATAAAATATGATGCTGATTTGACCCTTTTGAGAAATTTCAAGTGGGGGGACGGGGTGAAACAGCCGAGGAGTGACGTGGCAGAGAGATGCCATATTGAATTTAATGTGTGAACACTGGACTGAGTTGTACAATGTGATTGGGCATTCTCGAAGGTCAATTGGAAGTTTTCAGCCTGAATTTGTAATTAGGAACCCATGTTAATGTCCCCTGCTGAAGAACTGGGAGAGGAAATTTGCGGGATCTCAAGAATTACATGTGGATGGTGGAAGATAAGGGATGCGAACATCACTCACAAGGAAGTGCACCATTAGTCCTTGCATTTATATCTCTAGCTGGCCAGTGTAGGGTCTAGGTGTTAGGCAGGTGTTGTGGTGTGATCCATCTACAGTAATTAAATGGTAAGTTTTTTTTTTTTTTTAACAAGTCGGCCGTCTCCCACTGAGGCAGGGTGACCCAAAAAAGAAAGAAAATCCCCAAAAAGAAAATACTTTCATCATCATTCAACACTTTCACCACACTCACACATTATCACTGTTTTTGCAGAGGTGCTCAGAATACAACAGTTTAGAAGCATATACGTATAAAGATACACAACATATCCCTCCAAACTGCCAATATCCCAAACCCCTCCTTTAACCCTTTGACTGTCGCAACCCCCAATCCTGAGGTGTCTCCTGGTGTCGCAAGATTTAAAAAAAAAAAGAAATTATTTTTTCTTATGAAATGATAGAGAATCTTTTCCCGATTGTAAAGACACCAAAAAAAACGAAATTTGATGGAAAACTGACGGAATTACGCTCTCGCGAAGTTAGCGATATTTACAAATCAGCGATTTCGCCCACTCCGAGCCCTATTTTCGGCTAATCAATTTGGCCAATTTCACGAAAATTAAAAAATATGACAATTTCAAAATAAGGACCAGAATGAACAATGCAGACATTCCTGGCTCTAAAATAACATTTTCTTTGTTCATCAGTCATGTCTCCAGGCCCCTGTGATATTACTCTTGCTTTTTATTTTGAAATTTTATTCAAACAAACAATAGAAGATTTACTGTTATGCAGACTACTGCAATACTGTAATAATTGTAAAAATTACATCAACCCATTCATGACTGCATATTAGAATGGCTATTTGGACATTTATTGGACAATGACATCATTTGTTTACTTTTGAACATCGGCAAAAATCAAACATTTCCCGTAGTTTGTTCTCCATTTCCAGGTTCTTTTTATAGTAAAATTAATCAAAATCACCTCTATTTCTATAATATAGTTTCCATTCTATCAAATGAGACTAAGAAAACGAGAATACAACCACAAATACTATACGAAAATAGACCACAAAGTCGGCATTTTAATTAAAAAAAACGGTCGGAGTTTTTTTTTTCTCATTATGCACTGCGTGCTCCAGGATTTTTTTTAAATGGTGCGCACTGACCACACAGACCCATTCTCTCACATGTGGGCCTACCAGCTTTCTCCTGCCTGATTTGAAGCCGCTAGAATTTATGAGTATATATACGTCAAACACGGTACCTCGTAAACGTATATATACGGCCGCGACAGTCAAAGGGTTAAAGTGCAGGCATTGTACTTCCCATTTCCAGGACTCAAGTCTGACTATATGAAAATAACCGGTTTCCCTGAATCCCTTCACTAAATATTACCCTGCTCACACTCCAACAGATCGTCAGGGCCCAAGTACCATTCGTCTCCATTCATGCCTATCTAACACGCTCACTCACGCTTGCTGGAAGTCCAAGCCCCTCGCCCACAAAACCTCCTTTACCCCCTCTCTCCAACCCTTTCGAGGACAACCCCTACCCCTCCTACCTTCCCCTATAGATTTATATGCTTTCCATGTCATTCTACTTTGATCCATTCTCTCTAAATGATCAAACCACCTCAACAACCCCTCTTCTGCCCTCTGACTAATGCTTTTATTAACTCCACACCTTTTCCTAATTTCCACACTCCGAATTTTCTGCATAATATTTACACCACACATTACCCTTAGACAGGACATCTCCACTGCCTCCAACCATCTCCTCGCTGCAGCATTTACAACCTAAGCTTCACACCCATATAAGAGTGTTGGTACTACTATACTTTCATACATTCCCTTCTTTGCCTCCATAGATAACGTTTTTTGACTCCACATATACCTCAACGCACTACTCACCTTTTTTCCCTCATCAATTCTATGATTAACCTCATCCTTCATAAATCCATCTGCCGACACATCAACTCCCAAGTATCTGAAAACATTCACTTCTTCCATACTCCTCCTCCCCAATTTGATATCCAGTTTTTCTTTATCTAAATCATTTGATACCCTCATCACCTTACTCTTTTCTATGTTCACTTTCAACTTTCTACCTTTACACACATTCCCAAACTCATCCACTAACCTTTGCAATTTTTCTTTAGAATCTCCCATAAGCACAGTATCATCAGCAAAAAGTAACCGTGTCAATTCCCATTTTGAATTTGATTCTCCATAATTTAATCCCACCCCTCTCCCGAACACCCTAGCATTTACTTCTTTTACAACCCCATCTATAAATATATTAAACAACCATGGTGACATTACACATCCCTGTCTAAGACCTACTTTTACCGGGAAATATTCTCCCTCTCTTCTACACACCCTAACCTGAGCCTCACTATCCTCATAAAAACTCTTAACAGCATTTAGTAACTTACCACCTATTCCATATACTTGCAACATCTGCCACATTTTGTGTACCCAGCAAGTCTAATCCTATACAGTCCACAACTTTAATTTACCAGAGTAGCTGGTTTTAATATTATAATTTGCTAGGTAAAAGGACACAAGTGCAACTAATGTGACATTTTATTGTGGCAACGTTTCGCTCTCCAGGAGCTTTATCAAGCCGTTACAAACAATACACAGACACAGAGGGTATATATAGGCTTAGAGTGAGGTGTAATACTGGTGGTGGTTGTAGTCCTAGTAATGCTTGTGAGGTCACTAAGGGAGACCTAACTAACCAGTAAATTGTCACACACTTTGCCTTGGGAAATAGCTGTCAGCCACACAGCTTAAGTCTCAGTCTTCTGTTCCTGCCTAGCATCATGTCCTAAAACATGTGGTGTATGCCTCATAAGGGTAGAGGGTGCTTTAAGAACCATATAGGCTCAAGGAAACAGCTAGAGATTCTGGCAGAGCTGTGGCCTGTGTGCAGAGATCTGAGCAGGAGATTCTGGCAGAGTTCTGGCCTGTGCGCAGAGCTCTGGGCACGAAATTCTGGCAGAGCTGCTGCCTGTGGGCAGAGCTCTTGAAGAAGGCTGCTGGAGAGTCTTGGGAGGAGACTGTTGGAGAATACTGGCCAGAGAGTTCCTGTGGTGAACTGTCCTCTGAACTATATTGTAAGTTATAGTATTCTGTTTTGTCATTTGATTGTATTCCCTCTCTCACTGCTTATGTGTACCATCCCCATTTATCTAAACCCAATAGTGTTCTCCTGTTCCCAAATATATTACTGTACAAGGACTTAATAATAAACTGTTTGAGTAGAATAGTAATATTCAGGGTTTCAGGGTTCCTTGCAGTCTCACCTACATATATGGTGTGAACTCCTGCATTGACTGGTTCATGGTGGTTTGATTTTGTCCTGGTTAGATCCCACTATGAACCAGTCAATGCAGGAGTTTACACCATACCTTGTGGAGGCTGTGACAGGATATATGTAGGTGAAACAGCAAGGAACCTCGAAAACGCCTCAATGAACACATTAACGCACGTAGGAATAATAACTTGAACAATGCCTGCAAACAACACCAGAATTCCACCAATCATCTTATGAAATTCAACAACGCCCGACTAGTGATCAGAGAACCTAATTTCCATAGACATAAATGCCTTCAATTATCATTAATCGCTGTTTCTAACACAATCAAGCAAAATAAAGGCAACTTCATCATCTCTGAAGTATGTATTAGCAAAAATCCTCCTCAAAACAATAAACCCTGCCATCATATAGTCTCTGCTGCTAATACTACACAAGAACATAACAGAGGAGGAACACTGAAACAAACCTTCTCAAATCCAACCACTAACAGAAATATTTGTCTAAACTATTTTTATGCTATCCAAGAAATAGCTTTTATAACCTTTTACTCATGTACAAGTTGACTGTTCTACCATACTGTATTACTACTACTACTACTATTACTACTACTACCACTAGCATTACACCTCACTCTAAGTCCATATATACCCTCTGTGTCCATGTATTGTTTTTAATGGCTTGACAAAGCTCCTGGAGAGCGAAACGTTGCCACAATAAAATGTCACATTAGTTGCACTTGTGTCCTTTTACCTAACATATTGTCGGTAATTCTACCAACATTAATACAAAACATATTTTAATTATTAACTTAATGTCAGGTCTAGCTTTTTGTGAGTGGGGAAGAAGTGGGCATTTCCCTGAATCCCTTCATAAATGTTACTTTGCTCACACTCCAACAGCACGTCAAGTATTAAAAACCATTTGTCTCTATTCACTCCTATCAAACATTCTCACGCATGCCCGCTGGAAGTCCAAGCCCCTCGCACACAAAACCTCCTTTACCCCCTCCCTCCAACCTTTCCTAGGCCGACCCCTACCCCGCCTTCCTTCCACTACGGACTGATACACTCTTGAAGTCATTCTGTTTCGCTCCATTCTCTCTACATGTCCGAACCACCTCAACAACCCTTCCTCTGCCCTCTGGACAACAGTTTTGGTAATCCCACACCTCCTCCTAACTTCCAAACTACGAATCTCTGCATTATATTCACACCACACATTGC